AGTTAGAAATAATATGGTTTTCCTCTTGCTAGGATTAACTTGTCAATGATGAAGCCTGTTTAATCACAAATTAAATGTTCTAGATGTTGATATTTACTTTGATTTATTTGATTCAAAGCTAAACTTAAATTCTATTCAATTATTGATTAATAATTTAGACTTGAAAAGTTATTTAAAATTACTGTAAGTTGCATAGTTTCATCAAAATGATAAACATATTTTAATAATCGGACTAAACATTTTTTGTGACTCTTGAAAATAAATAAAATAACAATCACAAGATCTGGAAGTATATCTAAAAACACCTAGTAGAAAAATGTAACTTTTACAAGTTTTTGGTGACTTGTTATTCATAATGTTTTACCAATTTAGTGGGTTCCAGCTTTACTAATTTTATCTGTGCCTCAGAAGTTGCATGCGTGCATTTTGACATTATGTAGCCATCATAATTTGAGACCACAAATAAAAGGAGAAAATAACTAGAGGATATATACTTGCAATCTACATTTCCTTGTCGGTGCATAATTTAGAATTAAGCTAGCAGATGAAGAGTATAAATAATTGTATTGCTCTCTTTCCCTTTTACACAAGAAATTTAAGAGATTAAAAAGGACAACTCGGTGCACAAGGTATTCTGTATTCACGCAGGGTTCGGAGAAGGGCCGCAACTCTAGGGATGTGATGTAGACAACCTACCATAATGCAAGTATTAGTGGTTATTTCAACAACTCAAACCCGTAACAACCTTACCGTTATTCCAAGACTCTCTTCAAGCGATCTAAGAGATTAAAAGTTGAAAATCTCTTTCTCTTTTCTTTGTGATGTGTTTCTTGAAAAGGAGTGATAAATTCTTTATATATGGATACTACTTGACCAGGTTTAGTTATTTACTATACTTTTACCTTTTTGAGCTTCAAGACTTCCTCTACAAGCAGAATTTCTGGAAGAACGAGATGATTACAGTCAACTAGAGAAATACTTTTAATCTCTTTCCCATTAGAATTGTTCATTTGGAGGCTACAATTATCATAGCAAACACAAAGTTGAACATAATAAGTACTCCATCTAATAGATTCTTAAGTAGTTAATTAGTCAAAATACCCTCTAGAAACAGCATATTATAGTAACTTTCTGCGAAAGATATGCTTAAATCAAAAGCAATTTCATTTCACTTATGTCATTACTCCCTCTCTCATGAACAGACTTGCAGACATATTCCGAAAAAGAAATTGAATTATTGGAGATTCTATGGACAACCTTGGATTGCAAATTCCAAGAAATTCTGAGATTTACTAACCTTGAGAAATGCTCCCAAAATATGGCTAATAATTAAAGAGCTACCAATATACTAATGAAAAGAACTCAATTGGCAAGATTGAGGTTTGAAAAGCTTAAAGTTTGAGTTTCACTCAAGCATAACATTAAGGAATGTAATGTAAATTGAAAGTGGCGGAGGAAATAAAAAGATTTGAGGACCTTTAGCGCAAGAATATCAACTCCATTTGGAAAAAAGGTACTCTTAAAATAACCAAATTTTGAAATTTGGCCAAACAGGCTGTTAATTAAATATATTTACAATTCTGGTGCATATGTGGAGGCTTACGTGTACTCTTTGATAGACGTGATCATTATTGCTAGTTTTAATTAATTCAAAGTTTTGGCACACATGGTAACCTTGTTTTAGTTAACTTTAATTAAGGATATACTAGAATATGGTATTATACATTATGCCTGAATGGCTGTACCTTGTGTCTAAAAATACATAAATACTACAAGTTATTTTCGTTAGGGTGAGCCCTTATTATGCTTTATTGTATAAATAGAAGTTACTTACCCTGATTAAGTTAAGACCAAGTTTATAAATGGATAATTTCGAGAAAATACGTATAAACAGAAGTCCAAGTAGATATTTTACTTGAAAAAAAAAGGAAACATTAATAACCGAAGAGATTTTGTGATAGCTAAGCTTACACAACATGGTCCAACCTATCTTACATGTCATTTACAATGACCAAATCAAATAAAATGCTCCCTGATCCGAAGCACAAAGAATCTCATACAACTACTGCCCAACGTACATTAATTATGTTAAGTATTATATTAGTTTATGTGTTTTTTCTCCCAGTTTTAATTATTATAATTTTAAAATTTAGAGGAGGATATGTCTTCCATTATCGTACCCTTGTATAAGAATTATTAATAGATGAAAAGGATAACTTATGAGGGGCATTAGTACTATATATGTTATGCTGGGCTGCGGGTATTAGTGTAGTTGTGGCAGAATAGATAAAAAAATAGTTATTCATCCATATTATGTACTAAAATAGATTGGATAATGAATTTTTTAAAAACGGGTCAATATGGATAAGAACCATATTATTCATTTTGAAAATGAATAACTAACGGGTTTAATTTTTACATTTGTAAAAACTCAAATTGGAGGTTCTCAAGTTTGGGAGACTATGAATTTTCCCAAAAGTGATCATATTCAAAAAGCCATGAATAATATGGATATTCATATTATCTACCGGTTAACCCATTTTTTATCCATATTAAATATGGGCCGATCGAATAATTTATCCATTTTGCATTACCCGTTTTTAACCGACCCATATTCCACCCGCCCGTTTGCCACCCCTAGTGCAGAGATATACCTTGCATTATTATTTTCTAAAGCTTGTACGCCTTTAAGAACTTAGTCATATCGTCGATTTAAGTTGATTGTTTTCTTCCATATCTAACATTTCTTTCGTATTCTAATAATGTGTGATTTGGCTAAAAGGCGTAACGTAACACCTTCACCTTTAAAACTCAATGTCTTTGTTAAGGTTTATTCTACTATCTCGCACAAGGCTACGCACAAAAGTTGCTTCAACACTAATGTAACAGCTCAAATCCATTAGGGTTATCATCCGCCTTGGCTTATGCTCGTATATATGGCTTCACAATGCGTTATTGGGGCCTAAGGCTTTCACTCTTACTTAAATATACAAAAACATTATTTTATTTTATCGAGGTGAAATTTGTATAGCATGTTATAATATTAATTGGAGTTCAAGATTTGATGCTATTTTCCTAAAGAAATGGCTTTTAATTAAATATGATGTGGATTTGTGAACTGCTGGGTAGAAAGTCTAAAGTGGACCTATTATGAATCATAACATTAGCTTCTTTTTCAACACTCTTTGTTAGTAAATTGACAAAAAGAATGCTCCACCAAGGCTTTCATTATATGAATCTCACAATATTTTTTAAAGAGTGGTGAACGCTTGCTTAATAAGATATCAAAGAGGTCCAATAATAGTACGACATAAACTTTGTTTTTTGCTAAGTTGTAGCTGTTTGTTCCTAGCTATCAAGCTCAGCTCGATACACTAAGCTTCCGCTATGCGTGAGATTCGGGGAAGGGCCGGACCACAAAGGTCTATTGTCCGCTGCATTAACCTTCATTTACAGAAGAAACTGTTTCAACGGCTCGAATCTATGACCTCATGATCACATAGCAACAATTTTACCAGTTACGCCAACAGTAAATAATTTTTTCTTGCTACCATGATGTTACTAAAAGTTCCATTTTCCTTTTTGTTTCCTCGTAATGATGGCTTCAACTATTTCTTAATTTTTTATAGTCATTAGTTTTTGGAAATTATTGCAATTTTTGTAACGAGAAACTAATGATAGCTAGCCTAGTATATATTAAAACACTGACACTAGGCGCGCATCCATTTCCATTGTCACTACATTTAAATAAAAGTTTGTCTACTATTGCTTTGTTTTTGTTTTGATTATGACACTGAGAATGCTTCTAACTTGAATTTCCAAAAACATAGTGGTTTAGAATAATGATGGAATCCAACATAGCTCGTTTCAATATTTGTTTTTTATAAAGCTTCATTGCACATTGCTAATCTTGGTTTTGGATGCTTTGTTGCTTAGTTATTTGTCCATTCTTCTCTTGGATGCTATAGAACCTTTACTTTCATCACAATTGGGAATGAAGGATAAGACATTGAAAAGTTCAGACCAAAAGACAAAATAAAAAGTTATTGACACCTTAGGCCTTCACCTTTTATATTATATTCTTTCTTTAGTCCAACCTCTTAAAGTACTTGATTATCTTTTTTTAGTTTCCAATCGATGAATCCAATTGATTTATGAGTAACAACTAACAAGTAAGTACTTAAATCTCAACTTTAGAAAATAACAATAGCATTCAAGAAGTAAATTTGTTTAAGAATTATTTTTGGTGGGAATTACTTTCTCTTCAGTGGATCTTATAAATCGTACGTGAATCTGAATTAATCATAGTCGATTACTTACGTATAAAAAAACGATAGAAAACAAAATGGCCAAGCACAAAAAAACGACGTTTGGCTAAAAGAGGAAAGCTTAGCTAAATTATATTTGTCTTGATTACAACCGTAAGAATTTATTCACATTGACAACAAGACATTTGTATTTTCAATCTTTCTTTTTCTTGAGAACCTAAAACTTTGTTTACAGTACTTAGAGTGAGTGGTTGAGTGTGTGTCTTCTTATGTATTGTTTTTGTCCAAAATTATTCCAAAATACAAAAATTTCACATGGGGCTTATGTGAATTTTACTCAAATGCCATGAAATCATCACATGGAATACAGATGGTAGGATTTTCATGCAAGATTGTATGACACATAAGACGAAAATTTACAATTCCTTAATACATTAAACAAGCCAATTTGACACTTAATTATTCCTGTTAAAACTATTGAAACAACCACAGACAACTACACATAGGTACCCAAAAATAAATAACATATCCATAATTGTACTACTCCATATTTAATTCAGGACAAACACAGTGACTTGTCCTCACGTTGCATTACATGAAATCCAAAAAAAAAAGATAAAAATCACAAGTAAAAGTGAAACAGAAAAAAAGACCATAGGTTTAATTTTCATGAAAATTACTACGAGAACATAGAACACGATATAGTAACACTTAATTTAACCTATATCATGACTAGTTCCGACGATAATATCTTGATCTTGGAAGATAATCAATGGATTCAGAAACAGTACAGGTGGTTTTGCAAGAAGAATACATGCTAATGAATCCAAATCTATCACTTAAACTTCTTATTGATGGTACCTTAGAAGAACTTCTCCAAATGCCATGACCAAAACTCTTATCATATTGTTGTTGAATATCATCTTTGGAACATTCCACAAATGCTGCAAAAAATGGATCTTTTTTAAAGCTTTCATTATTAGCACATTTTTTGGGAGAAAACTCATAAAAAAAACTATTTTTCTTGGATGAATTTGGAGTATTTCCAGCTGGTGGTGGCAATGGAAGGAGTTGGCCTAAAGAAAAGCTGTTTTTTCTGGAAATTTTTTGTTTTGGAATACCAGGAATTTGCTCCCAAGAAAAAGGTACACCTTTTGAGAATTGAAAAGGAGTAGTTGGGCTAAAAGGGGAATTTTCAAGATCATGAAAAGAGAGTGATGAACCAAAGGAAGAGTTGGAAGAGTGAGATGGGGAAGAGGAGAGAGATGGGCTCCGGCGAGTCGTCGGCCGGAAAACTGGAGTTGAGAATGTGGTGTCACTTTGATCTTCAGCATTATATGTTGGAGTAGTAGTAGTAGTAAGTGTAGAAGCCATTGATTTTTGATGGAGGGAGAAAAGGAAGAGGAAGAGGTTCTTTACTTAATTTGATGTTGTCCTCTTTAGTATCTTTACTCTCTCCTTATGTATATGTATATATACAAAAAAAAAACTTTTATGTTATCTTTATTATCTTCACTTTTTTTCTTAACTAATGGTGGTGTTGGCAAAAATTGGGTGCACTTTCATTATTTTATTGGGTATTACATTATCGTTCCAATCACCCTAAGTATCGAGTTAACTTTGTTTAATACTCATACAGTTTACTTTAATTGTTTTTTAATCTTTTTTATGATTTAAATATTTGATTTTTTGAGATATCAAGAAGGAATTAACTTCTTTTTTTTCAAAGTTATCCTTGGAATAAAGAGTCATTTGTTGTATTTTCAATGAACAAGTTAATATGATCAATTTTATTTTTAATTATTGCTAAAATATGAATTACTTAATATGTGTGAAAACATCAGAAACTAATTAAAGTAAATCGAAGTGAGTAAAACTTAGATGGATAGTGGGGTTTGTCTTTACTATCTTAATTTACTTCGTATATTGAGTGATTTATTCTTTAATATATATTTTATTTTATTTTTCGTGTCAACATCAATTTCACTCTCAATATTTTGGTGAAGGAGAAATGGAAAAGAGATAGATATTATTAACAAACAAAAAGACCCCATTGTTTTATGACAAGAATGGAGAGAAGGTAGAAGCACATGATAAATGAAATAAATAGGTACCTCTTTTTTTCTTAAAAGAAAGGAGAAAATGTTTTTGCAATATATACTTGAGTAGCAATTAGATTTATATTGTTAGAAACTCATAATTAGATCCAGATTGCGGTTCATTCTAAAAAATAATTTCCTTTTATTTATTTATGTCGTAGTTTGGGTCAAAATTTTGGAAGATAGCTAAAATTTTCTATGTACGTAATGTTTATTTAACATAGCCATATTTTACTTACCAGCTAAAATCTTGGGTCAAAATGTCTAGAATTAAAAGCTAATAACCTAGATCAAGGCCCCCCTCTACTTTGTACGTAATTTAATAAGTGATATTTTACTGGAAAAAGCTTCATATGTTTTAATGTTTGTTCCAAGTCAATGATATAAAAAACACTCAATATTTTTTGTGGTAGTCTAAATTCCAACGAAGCAATGAAGTAGCTAGAAATCCAGTCAAAAATTAGTCATGAATAATATTTTTTATTTTTTCTCATTTTTTTCGTATTTTTAATTGAGAAGAATGGGAGGAGACAGGAGAAATAAAGTATCATGAAGAATAAAAGAATTATTGGATTCCATCTTTCGTGGCTTAGTTTTCACCTACCAACTTAAGTCAGAGATATCATAGTTGTCGCAATTATTGGCAGGTTTATAAACATTAGTAATTCGAATTTCATGAAGCATGGGTCTCGAGCTACTTCGGTTGTAATAATTAATATAACCGATCCATAATTCTCTTTATATTCTTCTTTTTCCGCGGAAAATAGAATATTACGAGATAATTTAATTTGGTACACAAGTGGACTCTCCTAGCACGGACGACTTAACAAAGTTGGATGTGGCCTAAAGCAAAAATTTGTAATGAGGTTTTAAGTTTAAAAAAAAACTTATACATATATTTCATGTAAAGTCTATTTTTTAGTATTTTGAGATGCAACGTGAGCAATTTTTTTAATATAATTTTTTTTTCAATTAACAATATAGCTAATCAATTACATGGATAAAATGTTCTCTTTTTTTTTTAATAAGATAATGATAATTTTACCTTAAAATATTAAGTAGTTTTTGAAGAAATTAGCCACAAAACCTACTGCATATTAATAAAAAAGGATACAAAAAAAGCATTACTAATAAAAAGGGGGCCCAAAAAATATGGGGGCTTAAATTAGGGCTACTTATCGGGCGGATTGAGCGGTTATTTACTCCTAACGGTTTGGTTTATCGGTTATCGATTTTTAAATGTATTAATCTGCTTGCCACCCGATAAGATATCAGGCGGATTGGTATCGGTTTAACTATTATCGGGCGGTTATCGGTTTAGTTTCAGTTGATTGAAATTTAACATTAGGGAGTACATCCCCGAGACAACAATATAGTCAACATTTCTCATATATATATATTAACTAAATTACACCATGAGGCCATATTACTAAAATCAAATGCTGGATATCAAATACTTCTTTTATCTTCTCATACTACATTCAAGTGGATGGTAAGAGATTGAGAAGTGCACAACAGAATATATCAACAGTATCATTTGAACATATTTCTTACTATTTAAGAAGATGACAAACTGTTAAAAAATAAAAATGCAACTTGGTTAAGATTGAACTTAACCAATTCGATAATGCAGCTGCGAAATCCGCTACCATGTCCTCTATCAAGATGATATGTTGGCGGGCTTCCATCGAGGCACACTGTTTGATGTCTCATAAACAAATAAATACTTAGTACTCATAGAAGTCTGCATGTGATTCTCTTTACTCTCTGTTGCTTAATGTATTGTGCAGTGGCACTGTGAACTATGGTGATATTGACAATCAGTTCTTTTTGAGCCATAATAGTAGTCAACATTACTAGCAATGCTAACAAGAAGCTGGTTGTCATCCTGCAAAACATTCAAATTATTAAGCAGTTGTTAGTTCGTGCTTATATTGCTTTTTTATTTATTCGTGTATTACTATTGTTTATTATGAAACCTCCCACGCTGGTAATAAATAATTGAATCTTTCTTCTAAAGTTTAGAGAGCAACAGTAAACAAGTTCAATAATATGGATAAAAATAAATTTCATATATATATATATATTCTTAACAGGTTAACAGATTATCCGTTAAGAAAATTGAATAATCCGCCCCCAAACTAATAAGCCGTTAATAAAAAAAATCCAATCTATTCCCCGTATGTTAAACCGTTAACCCGATACTAATAAGCCGCTAAACTTCGATTTCGATTCGATTTTCGATTTCAGCTCGATTTTGAACCGCCCTAGCTTAAATCTTGTCTTAAGTGACTTTGGTCTTGAGCAGGTACCGTCTCCTAGAGATACTAGTCACTGGGATTCAAGTCATTTACAAAAATAAGTTGACACAAAAGGAGAATTGTAACAAAAGACATCTCCCGATAGTTATCGTTGTTACTGTATTTTGCTAGACTGTCACCTGATTGGCTTCTAATCTGTAGATGTACTTATAATTCACTTACCTAAGTGAGTCTGAACTAAGTCATGTACTTTCATAAATCGAAGAATTATAATGTTATCACATTTTTTTCACTTACTTTACTACTACGTACTATTTGTTGGATTAAAAGATTGGTGAATGAGAAATAGAGGAAATAAATGTAAAGGGAAAGTGAGCTCCATTATGCTTTAAAAAAAGCAATTGTCCCTCATTGGTGGTGAAAATAAAACGGAACGTGCTTATATTGATAAAGCACTTCCCTTGTTATTAAATGGGTTGGAAAGAAGGTAAGCTTCGTGTCGTCATCGTCGCTCGGCTTCTGCTTCCGCTTCGACTATTTTAAACGGGAATCGTTCCCGCCTGTTCCAACAGTCATGGCTGTTAATGGTTGTTGTTTCTGAAAGGTTACAAACTTTTAGAACAGTGCCAGCAAATAGTTATAAATATGCCTTTCCCAGAATCTTTCCTTACGAAGATTTCTGAACTTCTTCTCCTTCTTCTGCACAATTAAATTCCAGTGTGATTTACAGTCATTAAGTGGTTCGCCGTTCACCAGCATTTTTAGTACCGATACATTAGTGAGTTAAATCGTTCTATCCCAGGAGGATAATATTCCAACACCTCGAGTACTTGAGAGAAATAATTTCTTTAAGGACACACTATGCATTCAGTGGGCTCGATTTCATTCCGAAATTATTTTCTAGATTCTGTTTGATTTTCGATTTTTGTTTATTAAACATACTATTTATTATTAATTACGGTATTTTTTATTGTTCTATTTTCTTTCCATTAATTGAATTCTTCTATTGTTCACAGTGAGAAATGGCGATATATATCCGGAAAATCCTTCTACGACTGTTGCGACAACGAAGATTGCCTCGTCAAACCGAACTGTTGTGCCACTGGCCGAAAAACCGAAGAAATATTTTGGAGCCAACTTCAAAGGATGGCAGCAAAGAGTGTTCTTTCGGATTACCACGCTTGGTATACAGAAATTCACTAGTGAAGACCCTCCATGCCTATCGCCGACATGCCAGACAACGAGAAGTTTATGATTGTTGAGGCGTGGAAACATGCAGATTTTCTTTGCAAAGGCTACATCCTAAGTACTTTGGAGTATGACTTGTACAATGTTTACAGTGTTATGAATACTTCGAAAGAATTATGGGACGCACTTGAGAAGAAGTACAAGACTAAAGATGCATGCTTGAAAAGGTTTGTGGTTGCCACATCTGATCTCCCAATGTGCTGACCGCATATTTTTTTTGTGCGGTCCGCACATCCCACGTTCTGCGGCCGCAATCCAAATTGTGCGACCGCACTTCAGTAGCTCTACACTACCAGACTTCAGTAAATTGATCATAACTTTCTCTACTACTGATAAGTGGGAATTTTGACTATTTATTAGCACCTTTTAACTTTCGTTTTAGTCCAAAAGTGTCTAATTGTATTCTCGAAAATTGATGAAATATGCTTACCTGCAGGAGTATTGGAAAATGAGCCAATACGATGAAATCCAACTCAAGAAGGAGTGATCTGAACAAGGACAAAAATCAGGCACATAAGCTCAAGTGCGGACCACGGATTTCTATCTGCGGCCGCATAATGTGAAGGAAAACCAACAGAGCCCCAGTGCAAAGTACGGACCGTGCAATTATTGTGCGGCCGCAGAAGCTACATAAGAGCCAAAGTTCAGAGAGTTTCATTTCAAGATCAAGAAGAAATGCGGACCGCACAATAATTGTGCGGCCACAGAAACAGCTATGCGACCGCACTCAGGAAATGTGCGGTCCGCAGAAGAGCCCAGTGCGGTC